TAGTAGTTTCCTCCCACATATGAGTGAGTGAGGAATGAGTATGGTTTTACGCCACTTCTACATTGCAACAATATCACGAAAGGGACACCGGAACATGGGCTTCATGCATTGTACTCAGGTGGGAATAAAACCCGGGTGTTTGCCGTGACGAACTAACACTTTTACAACTAGGCTACCTCATCGTCCCTGTGATGTGCAGTACTACAGTATATTTGTTTTGTTTATATTTAATTCACTTACTTTATTTGAATGTTCATCTGGAATATAATTATATATTAATCATAAAATATCGTAAAATATCACTGACATTAAATGTTTGGAGAATTGACATTACCTGAAGTTGATGTCATAATGCGTTATCACCCAAATAGATGTTATCCCACACCAGGGTGGTGAACACATTGCCGCGAAATCCATAGGGAACATCGGTTTCATGCTGTAATTTTGTTTTGTCGTCAAAGCCGTATCAAGAGTCACCGAGTAGGAAACGCCGTGTCCTAACGAGTTGAGTAGCTGCTGTAATTTGGTAGACCCTTTAATGTGTCTTTAGGGCCACACCTAAAGCAAAGTGTTTTCGCATCAGCTTTCCACCACAGAGAAAAGACGAATTATGTCTTGTGAAAGAGAAAGTATTTTTCTGGTTGTTATTTCCTTTTATTTCCACCAACTGCCGTTCTTTTAATACTTTTCTCAATTATCTAAATACGAAAATTTCTTGAAGGCTTTAATGCGAGATGTTCAGATTATATACACATTTAGAGTACTGTTTATAACATGACGCATGGTACCGCATTTCTGTACATACTGGGTCCGAGTACCAAATACGGGTCTCTTGTTTTCTCTTCAAGGATCAATTTTTGTTTTGATCGCCTTCATACATTTTGTCCTGTCCATTTTGTGACCTAGATCAGAAGATGTTTTGGACTTTAAATCGACGTGGGAACCAATTGCATGCCTTGAAGCAGAAGGTGTGCAAACAAGAAATGCCCAAGAAATCTGTACCATAATGCCAAACCATATGAAACAGGTATCAAGCGACCAAGATGAGCTTCACTTTGATCAAGAGGTTAGGAAGCACATTGAGGGACACGTGGAAAGGATACGTTTGGACATACAGGGCACTGACCAGTCATCAGTTGATCTTCTAACAAGTCCAGGGGAAAAAAAAAAAATTTGCAAAACCCCAAAACGCAAACAAGGCTGCTGGTATGGACAACATGTTTTTTGAACATCTTTGATATGGTGGAAAATACCTTACAAAGTGCTTGTCAGAACACTTTAACCTCGTTATTACATCTGGATACATTCCTGCCCAATGGAAAAGAGGCACTATCATACCGATATTCAAAGGAGGCAACATGTCTCGCGTGTTACCGGATTCCTATCGAGGGGTAACCCTATTGCCGGTTATATACAAGGTATTTGAAGTCATTGTAAGTAGTAGAATCCAACAGCTCACCAACAGTGAATCCTTTCCATGTATACAACAACGTGGTTTCTAGAAAGGCCTTTCCTCCAGTGACACCTCCTTAATTGTACAAGAATCAATACTTCATAAAGAACGATCGGACGCCATCAACTTAGCCTTCTTAGACAGTTCAAAAGCGTTTGACGCAGTATGACACCAAGGACTTTTATACAAGCTGTATCATCTTGGAATCCCAGATGCACTGTGGGGGATATTTGACAATAGATACAAGTTCATCGAGAGCAGCGTCCTTGTTAATAACACAAGATCATACTGGTTTCCGTTATCAAGAGGTGTTCGGCAAGGAAGCGTCCTGTCGGCAAAACTCTACCTGCTATACATAGATGAACTGTGAGAGAAACTGTCCACCAGCAAACTTGGTGCAGTGATCTTGGATATCCATGTAATGGCACCCACTCAAGCGGACGATATAGCAATTGTTAGTCCAGTATCAGCAAATCTGCAGAAGATGATGACCATATGTGAAAGATATGGTTCAGACTGGCGGTTCTCTTTTTATCTCCTTCCAAGAGCCAGATAGTCAGATATAGTGACAGAAAAGCAGCTGCTTCTAGTGTTGTACTCTATGGACGTGATATCCCAGTGACAATTGAGCTTAAGCACGTTGGTTATATTGAACACTGAATTTAACTCATGGTAGAGAACTCTGGAGAGCTGCTCAAAGATGAAAGCATCAGCCATGACTTTTCAACATCAGGAAACTATTCTTTCTTGGCCACCTCTGTAATTGTTCTAATCATCTGCTTTCTAAGAAGGTTTTTATGACTCGTATCTCCATGTATATACATAAGTGTTCATTCACAAGTATGGGCTTTGTCCCAGACAAATGTCGCATCCTCCACAAGTATTCATTATACTGTCACCTGGAGGCATTTCTTAGTTCCAGTACATCCCTGGAGCGGAAGATATGGAAAAGGACAGTCAAAGAAGCCGTGAATACTTTTGAAGTACCAGCATGTCGGGAAAGACTTTCATCAGAAACTGACACTGTGCACTTTGAGAGTATTCACACGTGGCGAGGAGGATAGCTCGAGAGTGTCCTGAGCTAAAGTCAGCTGCCTGTTTTGCTGTCAACATTTGTGCGATGTGGAGACCGGGGAAATTACATGGTATCTGTTCACAGTGTAGTATTAACTACCATGACTTACTGACTCACGTACGGTGCCACTGTGTGAGTAAGAGAACAATAAGAGAGAACTTATGGTGTGACATTGTGTGTATAGGTCCCGTTGACATCAGCGTTGAACTCCACAACAAATCAGGTTATGTTTGCTGTCCTGTAAGCCACCTTTGGATACTGATCCAGATACCAGTGGCTCTTACTCACGAAGTGAAATTCGAGGACTATACCGCTTTCATTATATGGACGGAATTTACTAACAAAATACGTTACCACAGTGGTATATGGTGGTATACTCTGACAATGTAATAATTTTCATGTACTTATCTTTAATATTATACCTTGTAACTCTCCTATTGAGGAATAAAAGTGTACTTCTCCCTTTCTTTTAATACTTTTAATTACCTCTGCACAAAGTTTCTTGGAGGCTTTCATGCGAGGAATTCAGATTATATACACATTTAGAGTACTGTTTTATAACATGACGCATGGTACCGCGCTTCTGTACATGCTGGGTCCGAGTTCCCAATCTGTAATAAAATCTGGTCATCTCCTTTCAGTCGTGCATCCTGTAAAGATTTGTCAGCATTTGGATCACATCTGATAAGGGTCTCTTGTTTTGTCTTCAAGGATGTTTCATCAACAATAACTTTAGTCTTTTTAATGATGACACACTCCTTAGGAAGTATATGATTTGATCGCCTTCATACTTTTTGTCCTGAGTTATTTTGGATCTAAGAACAATCCTTGTCATTTTAAGGGATGGTTAAGAGGTTGATACATCTGTATCTCCATGTTGAGGGGAAGGTTCACAGGTAAACACATCTGCCTCTCCATCAACATGTCGTAAACACACCGGACACCATGAACTGTACGTTCCATAAACCGTCGATTGCAGTAGCGGCGATAAATTGCGTGTCACTGCACTTGGACGGCGTAAGACTTTGATTATACAAAGAAGGTATAAGACGCCGTTCCCAGGCGAAACTATAATGTGTATGTCACCAGGATATAGTTCGAATGTTGCCGATTGCTTCCTAATCAATAAAATAAAATAAAATCTACTAAAAATGTACTGGCATAAACAATTCAGAAACAACAAATACAGAACCCACCTAGATGAAACACATCAAACCATAATACACAAAATGCCATGTCTATTTGGAATTAATTAAAACACAAATGATTACATGCAACTGAATTGTTAAGGCAATGGAAACTAAACACTCACTTATGTGGTAATTAATCAGGTGTGAAACTGGAAAGTAAAGTTGATAAATGAACATGAGTATAATTACTACATATTCTTTGTTTGGTTCAAATACAAATCTGAAGACAAAATTGTCAAAATGAAAACGTTCGTACTCATGATCATCGGATGCTGGCTTCCCTAAGGGGCGTAACTCTTGACTGCCAATTACGGAACAATAGGCGACTGCACCCTTATCTCCCTCCATGTCATATATTACAGAAATTTATAATCTAACAGATACTAAGAACGACCACCATTGTATTGACTGTATTTGTATAAACTGCCGGATAAAGAAAGTATACATTTGACAAGGGATTTTGACAAACGTTGTCAAAAGGTTACCAAGCTGAAAACAGTCGCCGAAACACTGCAAAACTTAAGGTATAAATCTATGAAATACATCACCATCGAATAATCATGTTTGTTTGTTTCAATTTTAGCAACAATAAGAAATGTGTTTACACTTTCTTTTGCCCGAAAGTTTACATCTCTTGACAAATTCTCAAGAAGAATACATGCAAGCGTTTTAGGAAAGACGTTTCTGTTTATCACCTGACTTTTGGAGAGTGAGTGAGAGAGTGGGTGAATTTGGTTTTACGCCGCTTTTAGCAATATTCAAGCAATATCACGGCGGGGGACACCAGAAATGGACTTCATCCATGTGAAGAATGGAACCCGGGTCTTCGGCGTGACGAGCGAACGCTTTATCAACTAGGCTACCTCACCGCCCAACTGACTCTTGTAGCATTGGCAATGTCAGATAATTGACATAGTTTAGTAATCATGTAGATGCAAAACAAATTCAGTCAGCTGTTGACTAGTTACGACTCTTGAGTTCTTTCATCATGTCAATTGATTGTAGGGTGTATCACCATGGTCAACAGTAGGTGGCAAAGAGATCTAATCGAGAGAGATATCAAAAACAGGTTATTTTATTAAGAACGCGACAATTATTGTCTCAACATGTGTAGGTTTCAAACAGAGAATATTCGTTAAGAACAGGACATCTGTCTGAATCGTCTAGTTGAATTAGTTTGCTGTTAATTAAAGCCATCCTACTGTGCGCTGTGATTGACTAAGTCACCAACTATGAAGAATCGGAACATATATAAAGCTTTACATTTAAACACATCACAACAGTTGAATTTCTCAGCTTCAAGGACAATGAAGACTTTTTTCGCATTTGTAGTCGCTGTTGTAGCAAGTCAAGGTGAGTGTTTTAAATGGCCATGCCTTCTTACTATCCACTTCTCAGTAGATACGATGGTCGTGGCTAAGGCGCAGCAATATGATATTTACGGAAATCCAATTATATGCATTAATTCTTTTTCTGATGTGTTCGAATCTAAACATATTTACATTAATTATTTTTTGACTAAAGTTGACGCGTTGACGTTTTATATTTACATGTTTTCAGCTATGGCCCTGTCGATACAGGATGGAAATGATGAGTGCGCTGATTGCATCGCTTTCATTACTGATCGCCAGGAGATGGAACTCGAATCGATTGTACGTAAATAATACCGACTATAACCCATGATGGTTCGTAAAAATCGTACCCACTAACATATACGTACATGTTTAGAACATTATCTTTTTGATTATACACTAATGGTTTATACCCCTAACCTCAACATAATACTTAAAGTAATGGGACCAGTCAACCAAGTGTTCGTTTCGGAATCTACATCTGAATTTTCCAATTTCCCAAAATAAATGGGATCTGTCCAGTCTTTGGTAGAATATTGTACTGAACCCTACTCTCATATATTTATCACTATTCTATCTACTACAAATGGATCTATTACTACATATATTTAAAGATAAGTTTACCCCAGAACGTAAGGAGGTAAACATGTCACAAATACACTCATGTCTCTTCTCCAGATCTATTGTACTGAGTTTTTATATAACATGTGTTTCAGGAAGAACAGGAAGCAAAAATGAACAACGTCTGTTCTTCAATGGAACCCAGCAAGGTGGAAGAGGTGAGATAAATAATAGTTCTCAATAGTAAACAAACGGATTTCATAAACAACAAGATCAGATGTTTCATTGCAAAGAGCAATGTACTGAATATATCACAAGGTAGATAATTAAAAAGGTACAATAATCTATATTCATAGCAAACTGTGTTGATCCTTAACGCTGTGAATTAGATAAACTAATATTCTTGAAGTTAATATTATAAAAACGCGTATTTGCAGTGTAAGACAAAAGTGCAGAAAATATGCCAGAAGAAGAAGGACAAAGTCAACAGTCAGGTAACTGTTAATTTTTACATCATCAGAAATCCTGCTCCAATCAATGGACTTATCATGAAGCACAAGATTGCGTCAGCTTACATTTGCATATACTGACATCATGAAAAAGGTGATTGATGCAAAAAGTTCAGGAAAGTACCAATCAGATGGAATTTAGATACCCGGGGAAGGAGATGGAAAACTCTATATCAGCATTTCAGCTTACATTTCCTTTATCAGAATAATAACCTTTACCATGATTTCACTGAGTTACACAAAATGCTGAGAATTGGACTATGATTTTACCCTTTAACTCTATAATTATTATTGTACACTGCGAGTAAGCAAAAGGATTTGGTTTTACAACATATCATGTAATTGTGTTCACCTTCATAGAGCCCTGAAGCCATCTGCAAAGCCACCAAGTACTGCCCGTCGCTTGATACCGCCAACATGAACACACCTACAAACAAGGCAAGATTAATACCTAGTACCAGTCCTCTAGTCAACAGGTTTAGTGAGTATAACTCATCAAACTTACACACAATCAAATGAATGTCTTAACGTGTTCATGATTTGTACAATTTACTGGGTTCGAAAGTAGGTTCGTCTTTCGTCACACTTATTGTGCTGCAATATTATTGTTACATTGGTTACAATCTAAAGTTTAAAAACTGTAGGCATAATGATGCATTCAATTTGTCATTTCATGTTTCGTAGGTTCAAGGGAGACGGCGATGCAAGGACTGCAAGAACTTTCTAAAAGACGTCAAAGAAAGGCAAATGGTCACTGTTGTGAGTGACAAATATTGAGAAGGTTTAATCACTCCTATGTTGGTCTGGCACATTTACATTATTTCCCAAACTACATAAAACATGTACCATCTTGTTTTAAGTAAAATAACTAATCGTACACGTTGATGTAATGCAATCATAACATCATGACAACGTGTAGTTAAAAACGTTTCTTTTACAGGCCTCTGTAAAGGAACTGATCGAAACCATGTTCTGTGAAAAGCTCAGCGAAGACCGCCAGGAACAGGTGTGTATATAGTTATCCAATCATTGTTCAGTTTTCTGATTATGATATAAATTCAGTAGTTCTTTCCTTATTATAGTCCTAGACAATCCATGTGTTTGACACCATGAATATCGGATACAATGACGTGCACCATTCAAGTCAGCTAGCCTGACCATCTGATCCCGTAGGTCGCCCCTCATATTGTGTTACAGGTAATTTCATAATCAGTCATGATACATATTCTTATTTCATTATATAATGTGTGTATGTATACAATTTCACGTTCATCTTATTATGTTTGAGCATTCTGTGTACTCTGTTTCAGTGTGCTGACTTTCTAGATGCAGCAATCGAAATCGAAATCGAGCTACTAGATTTGGTGGTAAGTAAATGTTGGATGTATAAGTGAGATACTCATTGTTTTGATATCTACATAAACTTACACTTTACAGCTATATATGTCGATTTCTTAAGACATATCCATTAAGGACACTTATCAATATGTATGATCGGAATGAAGTATAAAACCTGGATAGTAAGAGTTAAAAGACTACTGTTTATTTAATTAAAACTATGTAAAAGAATGGAACTTTTTGTTTATTACAGAATGTTAAAACGTCATGCAAACTACTTGGTATGTGTGGTGCCAACTAGTTGTAAGGTGAGTTGTATTGAACGTGATATAGGCGAGGTAAGGTGAAGTGAGGCGGGATGAGTTTTAACATCGCGTTCAAGATTATTGCACTCCATGTGGCGGCTTGTTCTCGTCCGGACTTTATAGTGCTTGCTCACTGAGATGCCATGTCGCAGTTTCACATAGAAACCCCACTCTGACACATTATACTCAGACACCGAGCCGGCCAGTGCTTGTTGATGGTTGATGTTGCGCTAAAGCACACACGGGTGCTTTTGAACATTGCTACTCTCCTTTTACAAACTGAAATTATGTACTGTTTCGTGTTGATTCCCAAATTGAAATAGTATGTTAATCCAGAAGTCTGAACGTAAAAGAACTTCGTGTGAAACCAACAAACAACCAGCATGTTGTATACAATCAACAAATGAATTACAAAAATTAACTGGGTTTACAAATCAGGACAAATTACTCCACATTAATTACAATGGCGCCTCGGGCAATACACCACGGAGGTTTTCCTTCTGTCTACGCAATAGTTACACCGCTGTCTGAGGAACAAGTTTCGGTTGGAACTATTGACTGTTTGTTTCGTTTACTTCAACGCCACAATCAGCACTATTCCAGCTATATGAAGGCCTGTCTGAACCAGACACGCAATCAGCCAAATTACCGAGTCTGGCCACTCGACCCATTAAGTCGCCTCTAACGACCAGCATAGGTTGATTGGGAGAAATACTTACTCTGGACCAACTGTCTTCTGCTCCCCAGACGGATGCTCTGTCCACTCTGATATGAAATATTCTTACATTATTACACATGACACGGTTAACTTCAGTGTGTATTTTTGGTATTGCAGATGCTGACAATGCTGCCTCTCGATCCTTCAGCGCACACGAACAACGTCACGTGTAAAACATTGTCAATAAAACTTTGCATTTGACCAGAGTACTGTTGTTTCTTGGACGGTTTATGTGAGATATGGAGATCATTTGTTGAACCTGTGTCATATAATAGGCACGTGAAAATTATTTAGCAATCGAATCCTAGTGGAACGCCATTTATCACACCATACATAACATAGACTCTCGACAGTCAAGAACGCAAAGAAATTGGTCCAGGCTGGTCAACTGATGATCAAATGAAACTACTTTAACACGTTTTTCTATTATCGTTCTATTTTGAGGATAGAGGAAGGGAGTTGGGTTTGGTTTGTCCAAGGAACGGAACTCTGCACGGCGAATAGCGGCGCCTCAGACGACTGAACCAATCGCATCCTCATCCTTGAGGATAGACCATTATGCGGTGAACTAAATACTCAGAATCAGACATTATACGATTAAATGAGGAGACACATGTATACAGGATCAAGACAAATGGACATAATAAGTTGTCACCAGTTAATTCCTGAAACAAATTGAAATAAAACGGTTATTGGCAAATGAACCCATTACGATTACTATTTTCAACAGATATCCTAAGAAGATAAACAGAACGAAGCTATCGCGTGTACAGCAAAGAGTGAGTGAGTTTAGGTTAACGCCTCTTTGAACAGTACGTCAGTTTCATCAGCACTCGTGACGGGTGCTATAATGCTATGTCACACATGGGTGCTCTTGAATATTAATACTCTCTTTTGATTAATTGAAATTATATTCACTGCTCCACGGCTCAGTCATATATATCCGCTTCACCCACGGGCACTTTACCGGGGATCATGTAAATGTACAGTGACAAAGACAATAAGGAGACATGTAAGGTTCAACCATTTCATTGCATGGTACAAGTGACGGGTAATCGTGACCTAGTGTCGCACGGGATATGATGTGGTAGTGCATGGTTGCCTAGCATTGGACAATAAGTGAAGGAAACATTACATTCCTTAGAACTATTATCAGATGGATACCAGACCTATCCTTCATTTGAATGGTTAAAGCTTCACCAACGTTACAAACTTTTAACTCAGAACTTATCAACTTGAAATATTTGAATAAACTTTAATTTTAAAGTCTCTGCAATGAGCATGACCTTTCACGGGGCACAAAGTGCTCTTGTCTCACAAGGTAAGAGATTCAGTCTAACTAGTGGTCTGGTGACTCTCTTGGAACATCTCCTTTCAGTCTCTTCACATTCCTGCTGTAGTACAGTAGGTCTGGTATTCATCTCGTCAGGCACTGATAATGATGTACTCGTAGTGTCTTGATGGTCATCTGGCTTCCACTGCTCAGTTGTCTTGTTGCTGGACATTACTGAATCTCACTTACAGTCACGGTATCTGCCGTCCTAGTAGTTTCCTCCCACATATGAGTGAGTGAGGAATGAGTATGGTTTTACGCCACTTCTACATTGCAACAATATCACGAAAGGGACACCGGAACATGGGCTTCATGCATTGTACTCAGGTGGGAATAAAACCCGGGTGTTTGCCGTGACGAACTAACACTTTTACAACTAGGCTACCTCATCGTCCCTGTGATGTGCAGTACTACAGTATATTTGTTTTGTTTATATTTAATTCACTTACTTTATTTGAATGTTCATCTGGAATATAATTATATATTAATCATAAAATATCGTAAAATATCACTGACATTAAATGTTTGGAGAATTGACAATACCTGAAGTTGATGTCATAATGCGTTATCACCCAAATAGATGTTATCCCACACCAGGGTGGTGAACACATTGCCGCGAAATCCATAGGGAACATCGGTTTCATGCTGTAATTTTGTTTTGTCGTCAAAGCCGTATCAAGAGTCACCGAGTAGGAAACGCCGTGTCCTAACGAGTTGAGTAGCTGCTGTAATTTGGTAGACCCTTTAATGTGTCTTTAGGGCCACACCTAAAGCAAAGTGTTTTCGCATCAGCTTTCCACCACAGAGAAAAGACGAATTATGTCTTGTGAAAGAGAAAGTATTTTTCTGGTTGTTATTTCCTTTTATTTCCACCAACTGCCGTTCTTTTAATACTTTTCTCAATTATCTAAATACGAAAATTTCTTGAAGGCTTTAATGCGAGATGTTCAGATTATATACACATTTAGAGTACTGTTTATAACATGACGCATGGTACCGCATTTCTGTACATACTGGGTCCGAGTACCAAATACGGGTCTCTTGTTTTCTCTTCAAGGATCAATTTTTGTTTTGATCGCCTTCATACATTTTGTCCTGTCCATTTTGTGACCTAGATCAGAAGATGTTTTGGACTTTAAATCGACGTGGGAACCAATTGCATGCCTTGAAGCAGAAGGTGTGCAAACAAGAAATGCCCAAGAAATCTGTACCATAATGCCAAACCATATGAAACAGGTATCAAGCGACCAAGATGAGCTTCACTTTGATCAAGAGGTTAGGAAGCACATTGAGGGACACGTGGAAAGGATACGTTTGGACATACAGGGCACTGACCAGTCATCAGTTGATCTTCTAACAAGTCCAGGGAAAAAAACATCAATTTGCAAAACCCCAAAACGCAAACAAGGCTGCTGGTATGGACAACATGTTTTTGAACATCTTCGATATGGTGGAAAATACCTTACAAAGTGCTTGTCAGAACTCTTTAACCTCGTTATTACATCTGGATACATTCCTGCCCAATGGAAAAGAGGCACTATCATACCGATATTCAAAGGAGGCAACATGTCTCGCGTGTTACCGGATTCCTATCGAGGGGTAACCCTATTGCCGGTTATATACAAGGTATTTGAAGTCATTGTAAGTAGTAGAATCCAACAGCTCACCAACAGTGAATCCTTTCCATGTATACAACAACGTGGTTTCTAGAAAGGCCTTTTCTCCAGTGACACCTCCTTAATTGTACAAGAATCAATACTTCATAAAGAACGATCGGACGCCATCAACTTAGCCTTCTTAGACAGTTCAAAAGCGTTTGACGCAGTATTACACCAAAGACTTTTATACAAGCTGTATCATCTTGGAATCCCAGATGCACTGTGGGGGATATTTGACAAAAGATACAAGTTCATCGAGAGCAGCGTCCTTGTTAATAACACAAGATCATACTGGTTTCCGTTATCAAGAGGTGTTCGGCAAGGAAGCGTCCTGTCGGCAAAACTCTACCTGCTATACATAGATGAACTGTGAGAGAAACTGTCCACCAGCAAACTTGGTGCAGTGATCTTGAATATCCATGTAATGGCACCCACTCAAGCGGACGATATAGCAATTATTAGTCCAGTATCAGCAAATCTGCAGAAGATGATGACCATATGTGAAAGATATAGTTCAGACTGGCGGTTCTCTTTTTATCTCCTTCCAAGAGCCAGATAGTCAGATATAGTGACAGAAAAGCAGCTGCTTCTAGTGTTGTACTCGTATCTCCATGTATATACATAAGTGTTCATTCACAAGTATGGGCTTTGTCCCAGACATATGTCGCATCCTCCACAAGTATTCATTATACTGTCACCTGGAGGCATTTCTTAGTTCCAGTACATCCCTGGAGCGGAAGATATGGAAAAGGACAGTCAAAGAAGCCGTGAATACTTTTGAAGTACCAGCATGGCGGGAAAGACTTTCATCAGAAACTGACACTGTGCACTTTGAGAGTATTCACACGTGGCGAGGAGGATAGCTCGAGAGTGTCCTGAGCTAAAGTCAGCTGCCTGTTTTGCTGTCCACATTTGTGCGATGTGGAGACCGGGGAAATTACATGGTATCTGTTCACAGTGTGGTATTAACTACCATGACTTACTGACTCACGTACGGTGCCACTGTGTGAGTAAGAGAACAATAAGAGAGAACTTATGGTGTGACATTGTGTGTATAGGACCCGTTGACATCAGCGTTGAACTCCACAACAAATCAGGTTATGTTTGCTGTCCTGTAAGCCACCTTTGGATACTGATCCAGATACCAGTGGCTCTTACTCACGAAGTGAAATTCGAGGACTATACCGCTTTCATTATATGGACGGAATTTACTAACAAAATACGTTACCACAGTGGTATATGGTGGTATTCTCTGACAATGTAATAATTTTCATGTAATTATCTTTAATATTATACCTTGTTACTCTCCTATGGAGGAATAAAAGTGTATATAAAAGTACTTCTCCCTTTCTTTTAATACTTTTAATAACCTCTGCACAAAGTTTCTTGGAGGCTTTCATGCGAGGAATTCAGATTATATACACATTTAGAGTACTGTTTTATAACATGACGCATGGTACCGCGCTTCTGTACATGCTGGGTCCGAGTTCCCAATCTGTAATAAAATCTGGTCATCTCCTTTCAGTCGTGCATCCTGTAAAGATTTGTCAGCATTTGTATCACATCTGATAAGGGTCTCTTGTTTTGTCTTCAAGGATGTTTCATCAACAATAACTTTAGTCTTTTTAATGATGACACACTCCTCAGGAAGTATATGATTTGATCGCCTTCATACTTTTTGTCCTGAGTTATTTTGGATCTAAGAACAATCCTTGTCATTTTAAGGGATGGTTAAGAGGTTGATACATCTGTATCTCCATGTTGAGGGGATGGTTCACAGGTAAACACATCTGCCTCTCCATCAACATGTCGTAAACACACCGGACACCATGAACTGTACGTTCCATAAACCGTCGATTGCAGTAGCGGCGATAAATTGCGTGTCACTGCACTTGGACGGCGTAAGACTTTGATTATACAAAGAAGGTATAAGACGCCGTTCCCAGGCGAAACTATAATGTGTATGTCACCAGGATATAGTTCGAATGTTGCCGATTGCTTCCTAATCAATAAAATAAAATAAAATCTACTAAAAATGTACTGGCATAAACAATTCAGAAACAACAAATACAGAACCCACCTAGATGAAACACATCAAACCATAATACACAAAATGCCATGTCTATTTGGAATTAATTAAAACACAAATGATTACATGCAACTGAATTGTTAAGGCAATGGAAACTAAACACTCACTTATGTGGTAATTAATCAGGTGTGAAACTGGAAAGTAAAGTTGATAAATGAACAATTCAAACGCCTTCCATACATCAGTTTGACGTGTTTCACATATCATTTACAATCTAATCAACTCGGTTCTCGTTATCTACCCATCCAGAATAATAGGTTCACCACACAATGAGTTATCGGTTGAATAAATAAGAGCACTCTTTTGCATGCAGTGTGCGTACATTATGCTGTTTGATAAAATCTTGTATATCGCATGAGTATAATTACTACATATTCTTTGTTTGGTTCAAATACAAATCTGAAGACAAAATTATCAAAATGAAAACGTTCGTACTCATGATCATCGGATGCTGGCTTCCCTAAGGGGCGTAACTCTTGACTGCCAATTACGGAACAATAGGCGACTGCACCCATATCTCCCTCCATGTCATATATTACAGAAATTTATAATCTTACAGATACTAAGAACGACCACCTTTGTATTGACTGTATTTGTATAAACTGCCGGATAAAGAAAGTATACACTTGACAAGGGATTTTGACAACCGTTGTCAAAAGGTTACCAAGCTGAAAACAGTCGCCGAAACACTGCAAAACTTAAGGTATAAATCTATGAAATACATCACCATCGAATAATCATTTTTTGCTTGTTTCAATTTTAGCAACAATAAGAAATGTGTTTACGCTTTCTTTTGCCCGAAAGTTTACATCTCTTGACAAATTCTCAAGAAGAATACATGCAAGCGTTATAGGAAAGACGTTTCTGTTTATCACCTGACTTTTGGAGAGTGAGTGAGAGAGTGGGTGAATTTGGTTTTACGCCGCTTTTAGCAATATTCAAGCAATATCACGGCGGGGGACACCAGAAATGGACTTCATCCATGTGAAGAATGGAACCCGGGTCTTCGGCGTGACGAGCGAACGCTTTATCAACTAGGCTACCTCACCGCCCAACTGACTCTTGTAGAATTGGCAATGTCAGATAATTGACATAGTTTTGTAATCATGTAGATGCAAAACAAATTCAGTCAGTTGTTGACTAGTTACGACTCTTGAGTTCTTTCATCATGTCAGTTGATTGTAGGGTGTATCACCATGGTCAACAGTAGGTGGCAAAGAGATCTAATCGAGAGAGATATCAAAAACAGGTTATTTTATTAAGAACGCGACAATTATTGTTTCAACATGTGTAGGTTTCAAACAGAGAATATTCGTTAAGAACAGGACATCTGTCTGAATCGTCTAGTTGAATTAGTTTGCTGTTAATTAAAGCCATCCTACTGTGCGCTGTGATTGACTAAGTCACCAACTATGAAGAGTCGGAACATATATAAAGCTTTACATTTAAACACATCACAACAGTTGAATTTCTCAGCTTCAAGACAATGAAGACTTTTTTCGCATTTGTAGTCGCTGTTGTAGCAAGCCAAGGTGAGTGTTTTAAATGACCATGCCTTCTTACTATCCACTTCTCAGTAGATACGATGGACGTGGCTAAGGCGCAGCAATATGATATTTACGGAAATCCAATTATATGCATTAATTTTTTTTCTGATGTGTTCGAATGTAAACATATTTACATTAATTATTTTTTGACTAAAGTTGACGCGTTGACGTTTTATATTTACATGTTTTCAGCTATGGCCCTGTCGATACAGGATGGAAATGATGAGTGCGCTCATTGCATCGCTTTCATTACTGATCGCCAGGAGATGGAACTCGAATCGATTGTACGTAAATAATACTGACTGTATCCCATGATGGTTCGTAAAAATCGTCCTATTTCCAAACGTGCCCACTAACATATACGTACATGTTTAGAACATTATCTTTTTGATTATACACTAATGGTTTATACCCCTACCCTCAATATAATACTTAAAGTAATGGGACCAGTCAACCAAGTGTTCGTTTCGGAATCTACTTCTGAATTTTCCAATTTCCCAAAATAAATGGGATCTGTCCAGTCTTTGGTAGAATATTGTACTGAACCCTACTCTCATATATTTATCAGTATTCTATCTACTACACATAGATCTATTACTACATATATTTAAAGATAAGTTTACCCCAGAACGTAAGGAGGTAAACATGTCACAAATACACTCATGTCTCTTCTCCAGATCTATTGTACTGAGTTTTTATATAACATGTGTTTCAGGAAGAACAGGAAGCAAAAATGAACAACGTCTGTTCTTCAATGGAACCCAGCAAGGTGGAAGAGGTGAGATAAATAATAGTTCTCAATAGTAAACAAACGGATTTCATAAACAACAAGATCAGATGTTTCATTGCAAAGAGCAATGTACTGAATATATCACAAGGTAGATAATTAAAAAGGTACAATAATCTATATTCATAGCAAACTGTGTTGATCCTTAACGCTGTGAATTAGATAAACTAATATTCTTGAGGCTAATATTATAAAAACGCGTATTTGCAGTGTAAGACAAAAGTGCAGAAAATATGCCAGAAGAAGAAGGACAAAGTCAACAGTCAGGTAACTGTTAATTTTTACATCATCAGAAATCCTGCTCCAATCAATGGACTTATCATGAAGCACAAGATTGCGTCAGCTTACACTTGCATATACTGACATCATGAAAAAGGTGATTGATGCAAAAAGTTCAGGAATGTACCAATCAGATGGAATTTAGATACCCGGGGAAAGAGATGGAAAACTCTATATCAGCATTTCAGCTTACGTTTCCTTTATCAGAATTATAACCTTTACCATGTTTTCACTGAGTTACACAAAATGCTCAGGATTGGACTATGATTTTACCCTTTAACTCTATAATTATTATTGTACACTGCAAGTAAGCAAAAGGATTTGGTTTTACAACATATCATGTAATTGTGTTCACCTTCACAGAGCCCAGAAGCCATCTGTAAAGCCACCAAGTACTGCCCGTCGCTTGATACCGCCAACATGAACACACCTACAAACAAGGCAAGATTAATACCTAGTACCAGTCCTCTAGTCAACAGGTTTAGTGAGTATAACTCATCAAACTTACACACAATCAAATGAATGTCTTAACGTGTTCATGATTTGTACAATTTACTGGGTTAGAAAGTAGGTTCTACTTTCGTCACACTTATTGTGCTGCAATATTAGTGTTACATTGGTTACAAACGAAAGTTTAAAAACTGTAGGCATAATGATGCATTCAATTTGTCATTTCATGTTTCGTAGGTTCAAGGGAGAGGGCGATGCAAGGACTGCAAGAACTTTCTAAAAGACGTCAAAGAAAGGCAAATGGTCACTGTTGTGAGTGACAAATATTTAGAAGGTTTAATCACTCCTATGTTGGTCTGGCACATTTACATTATTTCCCAAACTACATAAAACATGTACCATCTTGTTTTAAGTAAAATAACTAATCGTACACGTTGATGTAATGCAATCATAACATCATGACAACGTGTAGTTAAAAACGTTTCTTTTACAGGCCTCTGTAAAGGAACTGATCGAAACCATGTTCTGTGAAAAGCTCAGCGAAGACCGCCAGGAACAGGTGTGTATATAGTTATCCAATCATTGTTCAGTTTTCTGATTATGATATAAATTCAGTAGTTCTTTCCTTATTGTAGTCCTAGACAATCCATGTGTTTGACACCATGAGTATCGGATACAATGACGTGCACCATTCAAGTCAGCTAGCCTGAC